CTCATCCCTACATGATCTACTGGTTAAACGAGGTAACGAAACCCTTGTTAAACTGTCGTTATTTGGTCAAGTTTACCATTAGGAAGTCTTAGAGGAGTCTATGTGTTGTGACGTACTCCTTATGGATGCATGCCACGTTTTGTTGGTTGCCCATGGCAATATGACTAATCTACCGTACACCATGGGAGACACAACACATATACCTCTTGGAAAAATGAGGTTAAAGTTACCCTGCAACCCCTGAAAGAGGATACCCAACCTGAAACTAAGAAGGGAGAAAATGAGGTCATTCTCTCCATGAATCAATTTCCACATGAGGGGCGAGAGCAGGGGATCTTGCATACCTTAGTAGCAAAAGAACCCTCTCCTCCTACTGCCATTCCCACAGTCATAGAGCCAGTGATCGATGAATTTAAGGATGTTATGCCAGAGAAGTTGCCTAGTATGTTTGCCTCCTATGATAGATATACAGCATTGTATGGACTTGGTTCAGACACCAGTCTTCCAAACCTATCCGATAATTGCTTGAGCCGAAAGAGCATTATGAGTTGCACCAGCAGGTCTCCAAGATACTACATAAGAAGTTGATGAAGGAGAGCATGAGCCCTTCTGTTACCAACTTGCTAACACCCCAAGAAGGATGGATCTTAGATGTGTTTGGATCGTAGGACAATCCTAACTGTGAAATACCGGTTGTCCGGTTCCCAATCCCACAACTAGATGACATGCTTTATGTGCTAGCAGACTCAAAGATCTTCTCTAAGGTTGACTTGAACAACATGTATCACCAAAATCAAACTAACCATGGTGACAAATAGAAGACCGCCTTCAAGACCTGAGAAGGGTTGCACTTGTGGCTTGTCATGCCATTTGGGCTGTCCAATGCCCAGGGTCCCAGAGCGCCTTCATGACGGTGATGAACGAAGTAATCAAACCCTTTATTTGGAAGTTCATAGTAGTGAATTTGACATCTTTGTTTATCATTGCACTGATGAAGAGCACTTGGGCTATTAGAGGCAAGTGTTTAAGGTTTCGAAAGGACAAACTATTTGCAAATGTGACGAATTGCTCCTTTAATGACACAGCTTGATATTCCTGGGATTTGTGTAGGTAGAAGGTGTTAAGGTGGACCAAGCCACTATAAGGGAAGTTAGAAGCTTCCACGACATTACTACCTTTTACGGGAGATTTATCAAGAAGTTCAGCATTGTCAGCGCCCTTATGACCAACTATATGAAGAAAGGTGTCTTTTAATGGACTAAGGCAACCAATGAGAGCTTGGGTTAACCGATGAGAGCTTCAAACCCAATAAAGAGACGATAACTGATTCCCCATGCTAGCATTATCAGATTTGACGTCTTTCAAGTAAAAAATGATGCCTTCCCTTTGGGTATAGTTTCCCTTAGACAAGAAGGAAAACCAATGGCCTTACTACAATGAGAAATTAAATGAGACCAAGGCCGGAAGTCCCGCCTACGATGTGGAGTTCTATGGCATTATGCAGGCTCTAAGGCATTGGCAGCATTACCTCGTACAACAAGAGTTCATTCTATCTACAGATCATGAGGCATTGAGGTTCTTGAATGCGAAAAAAAAGCTCCATAGCAGTGTTTCAAAAAACGGTCTGCCCGGCATCCACACACCCAGACCCGGCCGGGCCGGGCCGCCCAGGTGGGCCCCCTTTTTTTGGGTCATTTTTTTCCCCTTTTGTTTTATCTTGAGAGGCCTTTGGGGGCATTCTACACCCCCAAGTCAAAAAAATATCGGAATCTAAGCCCCAAATCTATTGATTTTCAAATCTATGTGAATCGAAAAAAAATTCAAGATTCCAAGAAAAATCTTGACTATTGGCTTTGCACCTTTGTAAATTTATTGAAAACTTTGAGTCCATGTGATTATGGAATATTGAGAGTTGGGTTTAATATTGTAATACACTTTAAACTTTTTTAAGTTTGTTCACTAAATTTTCTAGATTTGAAGTTTTGAACATTTTTATTCTTAACATGCAATATGTTTGTATGAAAAAGGTTAGTTTACAATACATAAAAATGTAAAGAATTACAAAATTAACATAAATATATGCATATGGATAGCACATACATGCATATATCTACAGAATTTTCACTACAGTGCACCTGCCTAGGCTTTGGGTGCTGGGCTCCAAGCTGGCAGCCTAGTGTCTTTTGAAACCATCCTCCATTGTCATCATGCTAAGTGGATTTCCTACTTGCAAGAATTCACCTTTATTATTCGACATAAGGCCTGCCACCAAAACATGATGGCTGATGCTTTGAGCCAAAGAACCTATTTACTTGTAGGGCTTCTAGCTTCGGTGGTTGGATTCGAGATCCACCAAAAACAATATGCCACTGACCTTCATTTCTATAAATTCGTCGATCAATGCGTCGCAAGGAAGCAAGGTTCCTACCTCTGACTTCGTATTGCAGGATGGCTTTCTTATCAAAGGGAGTAAACTATGCATCCCACAGTAATCACTTTGCATCAAGATCATCATCGAAATACATGGTGGGGTCCTTAGTGGCCACTTAGGGCAAGATAAGAAAACTGCGGTTGTGGAAGAGAAGTATTATTAGCCTAGACTAAAACAAGATGCCAGTTGGATCATAGAGAGGTGTCAAAGTTCCCAACCAGCCCATGGCCATGCCCAAAACACATGCTTATACACACCTCTACCCATCCCTTCCAAACTTTGGACAAACATTAGCACAGATATTATGGTGGGACTCCCTCGCACAGCTAGAGGGGACCCCATCTTTGTCATGGTGGATTCAGTTTTAAAGATGGCACACTTCATGTCATGAAGGAATCACTCGATGCAACCCATGCGACTGATATACTCCTTGAGGAAGTGTTTCACCTACATGGAGTCCCCAAAACCATCACCTATGACCAGCAATGTTAAAAAATTAAAACGTAGCCCGGCCCCTAGGCACCCAGGGAGATCTAGAGTACACAGGCCTAGGCGGCCACCTAGAACATCATGCCTTGAGGTGTTAGATATACGTATATATGCATATATGTGTTGTTAAAATGCACATATACACAGGTATATTTATGTATTTATATGTATTACGACTGACTTTTTAGTGCGAGTGTTGAAACAAGTTCAAATTACTGAAATTTTCATTCTTCAAATAATTGAAATAGTGAAAAGCAAAAAAACTTCATAGTGTTTTAGTGATTTAGTGTCCATACAACATACTCCATACTCCTTTTCATGGGTTAAAACAACCCAGAATGCCCCCCACAAAGAAGTTTTTTCTGTCATTTTTATGGCGGTTCCTGGGCACTAGGCGGCCGCCCAGAAACATCTGCCCAAAATGGCCTGACCCAGCATAGGCAAGGCAGCCTGTCGCTTCTTGGGTGCCTAGGCGGCCGCCTAGGCTTTGTGCAAGCCATGTTTTGGAACCTCGCTGACCAGGATACACGCCTGTGAGTCACTTTTCTCGCACTTTGCGTAGGAAGCTGGGCACCAAGCTTCAATACAGCAGTGTTTACAACCAGCTAACAGATGGCCAAACTGATGCCTGGGAAATCTCCTTCGGAGTCTTGCCATGGGCAAGCCCAGCCAATGGGATCAGGTCCCAAGCCGATCACACCCACAATAGCAATGCCAATTGGCCAATGGGGAGGTCCTTTTTTGAGGTCGTCTATGGTCAGTAGCCGAGCAAAGTGCTCAACCTGGTTACCTTCCTAAAAAAGAACAAGCTAGTGATGACACAAAGGCTGTAGCCAAGCAACTTCAAGACATCCATATGTACGTGCAAGAGAAGCAACAAGCAACCTATGCTAAGTATAAAGAAGACGCTGACTAACACTAACGAGAGAGTATAGTGAAGAAGATGTGGTAATGGTCTTTGTGGCAAGAGCGCTTTCCAGTTGGCGCCTATCATAAGCTAAAAGTATGAGAAGATAGGTCCTTGTCGAGTGCTACAAAGAATAGGAAGTAATGCTTACAAAATCGAGCTTCCAGAGGGGTATAACACCTCCCATGGTTTCAATGTTGCTAATCATTACAAGTATCATGGAGCACCTGCTAGCATAAGCGAACCCGAGTAGGAAGCCCAGCTGCCTAAGCAAGCTACCGAAGTCCTTCATGGGGTTTTGGATATACCTAGTTCAGTGGAAGGGTAAGCTGGAGTTCGGAGAACTCATGGATCTCAGAAGAAGACTTAAAGCGGATCAATGAAGAAGCACGGAGGAAGTTCATGGCCAAGCAGGACTCGAAGACGACTCCTCTCAAACCAGCGGATATTGATGTAGTCAACTTGTGAGCAGTGAGCATCTGAAATTGCCTGACCTTTCACTCGTAGCATAGAATCGTGCTTATTGGTACTCTAAGGAAAAAAAAATTACAAAAGTCCTATGATGTCCCAACCAGTTTTGCTGATTGCAGAAACTGATTTTCTCAGAAAAGGACTCCAGAGGCCTGAAAATGGCCTTAATAGCACGAAATGCAAAGTCAATAACAGTTTCATCTTTCGAGACTTTTTGGACTAGATTGCTTTTTCTTGCCTTTCCACTTTATATTTACGGTCACGATTTAATGCCGTAATAGACAGTCCAGATTGTGCTTTGGTTAGGGTATAGATCATAAATAGATCATGATGTAACGGGGAGGGCAGTTTTTTTTTTTAGTTCTATCCATAGGGTTCCTAGTTTATCCAGAGATGTGACTATTGAGCTTCGCTTATAAGCTCCTTTTACTATTTTTCAATCTATTAGCAGGTTTCCCTTGTTTTCCTTCGCTTAATCCTTTTCCTACATCAGTAGAGAAAAACGCATATGGTATCCAATATCCACTGTAAATTTCAAAATTCAAAAGAGATAACATTACCTAAGAAACAAAGACATGATGGAGTTCTTTCAGTTCAAAAACAAAAAAAGGAAGTGATCTAAATGATTATCAGAGAATGTCATTTTATTATTAATATAACAGAAATAAAAGCTAGACAAAAACACAATTATCTAGTGGTCACCTTTGATGATCGAAAGCCATGGCACAAGACTACAATGGGCTTTGAACCAGCCTCATGCAACAGTCCAACAAGCCTTTCATTGTACTTGTTTGGAATAATCACCGTTTGCATTGGAATCACTAGAAAACATACAATTAATTTATTAAATTGACTTAATCACCACCCCAAAGTTGATAAAAGCAAGATATGAAGCAAATATCAAATTCAAATTCAAATTCAAATTCCCAATTTTTAGAAAACAACTTCCAAGCACCCGTTCACCACAAAAAAGAAGTACAGATATCTTATGTCTTATAATTAGGATGCACAGCAAGTAAAATGTATTGACGGTCACAGTATAAGAGAAAATAACACATGTTCTTTACGATGAGTATCATACAACTACTATACAATACAACAATAAGACAAATGGAGGACAAGCTCACATTTGTTTGTTTCAATATATAACAAAAATACAAGTAACTTGATGCTTGGATTCTATGCTTTGAAATTGTTAGAGAGAAGCTATATTGGAATCAATTTATCCTATGACACTTCTCATGTCCCCTAGTGTTCTTTCAAGAGCACACACCATGAAAATTCAAGGTTGTCATTGGCTGTATTCGTACCATTTTGGCACCTTTAAATGTCACCATTTCATAATATTTTTTGTTTTCCTGAGTGATGATTTAGTTATGATAATAACAAAAAAAAGAGCAAAGACTGTACCTTTAAGAGTATCCCTATGTTTGTTATAATGTTCTGTTATATTTATGCTCCATCACCAATCACTATTCCTTGCTCCCATTTTAGTATCGATGCTGTCATATTTTGGGATTCACCAACTGATGAGTCACAAGTTACATGTAATACAAAATTCCTTAAAGTAGATTCACAAAATGCATGCATTATTTCAGCTTTACGTTGAACTTATCATGGAAGAAAAAAATGATGTACAGACAAAGCCCTCTGCACCCTCTCTCCACACTGCACAACCCCACGATCCTCCATAGTGTAGACAATTACTTCCTCTACTCCTAATTAACTTACTAATATTGCATTAGTGGCCGCATTGGATCCTGGTTATGTTCCATCTCGTGATTCTAATGCATTTGAACTAAGTCTGGCAGAAAGGCAATGCCAAAGGAAGTGCAAACTTCGCAGGATACTCATATGTGGGATCAAAGCCCAATCCTACCAAGAAAATAACCCAATGGATGCAAATGTGGGTACACACAAGTGGAAATCGGTACACTTGATAACTATAGCATGCTTGGTTGAATAAGGTTATCAACAAGAATATGGCTTAGATAAATTTAAGCCAGATTGGTTGCCTAACATTATCAATAAGAATATTCATTAGATTATGAGGCCTTTGCTAGTGTGGCCATTATGACCATTATAAACAGGTCCATAAATATAATTGCCATGGCCTCCACTAGGCATTGGGATATGCATCAAATGGATGTTGAGAGTTCATTCCTCTATTGTGATTTTGCGGACCAATAGAGGAATGAACTTAAAATCCAAGCATTCTACAAACTTGATACGTACCACATGCTTTCAAACAAGTACCTGATGCTTGGTTTGAGACATTCCATATTGTTTTATTGAAGGCTCGGTATCATCAGACTAATCATCATTAATCTCTCTTACTAGAGATGGTTGAGACCAAATCAATAATCAGAAGCACATAAAACCAGACTCCTATTTTTTTAATGAAGGAACTGGGGTATGAATTATTTCATGCAAAAGTGTGCAAGTCTCCTTATTGATGCTGATGACTTAGCTAGAAAAAAAATAAAAAATAAAAATACATTGATGATTCAATGAAACTATATGGAGGATGCAATATCTAAAATACTTCGGCATCGTCTGCACTCTAGTATGGGTCATCTGCTTTCCAAATAGCTATTTATGTCCTAAAACGAAAAGAAGCAAGAAACAATCCTCAATTCTAGCACTAAAGCAAAGTATAGCACGATGTGTTATTTCCTCGAGTGAGGTTGAGTCATCTACCAAATAGAGTTGGTTCAGGGAAATCAGTTACCAAACATCATCATCACTACTCATGCCTATAATAACCAACACACCCATAAGATGAGTACAGCTAAGATGAAGAAGTGGAGATGGATGAATTGCAAGATAAGAAGGAATAGAATTTAAACGAATACATTCGGGAGAGCTTAGGTGTGGCTCCAATAAGCGATAAGATGAGATAAAGTAGATTTAGGTGGTCTGGCTGGCCATGTTCAATGCAGAACCAATACAATACTTGTTAGGAGGTGTGAGTTGATTCAAGTAGAAAGCTCAAAAAAGGCAAGGGGTAGGCCCAAAAAGGTATAGTTGGAAGTAGAGAGAAAGTATATGGGGACTTATGGCCTCACTGAGGGTATGGCCCTTGATAGAGCAGAACTGCATACCAAGATTTGTGTAGCCAACCCCAAATCATTGGGAAGAGGCTCTGATTGTATAATGAAGATGATGATGATGCCTATAATAAATAACCAAAAATATGAAACTAATCCAAGTGCAACAGCCTCCATTCTTCCTATTTCCACATCCTAGTGCAGATTGTGGATTAGGCTTGTTGTAGATTTTAGGGCGTACACAAATCATAAATGACAATCCCCAAATTCCTATTATCAATAAAATTTTCACAATATTAACTGAGCATCAGAGTTTTTTCAAATGGGATATCCAATCACCAAGCTAATTCTCATGAGGTAGATCGTTCTAAGATGACAAATTCAATGCTTTATGGAGGAAATAACTTCTCAATTTGTTGTATGGGGCCTTACAATTGCCTGATCCTCATACAATGATTGATCAATGAAGACTAATCCACAAAGGACTACACCTTTTCGACAATACACTCTTACACACGAGATCATAATAGAAACAACATATCCACACTTCAAAATGTTTACTAAAACAAAGAAAAATTAAATACATTTCTCGTGAATATCATTGAGAAATAAACATGAAACGAAACCAAATATGATTATAGTCAATGTTAACTTATTCAAAAAAAAAACAAAGATGATTATAGTCAATTGTAATAAGTATAGAATCTCAAATATGCATGTCCTTGGTTTCGGTCGGCATCCTTTTTTGTATTGTTTTTATCTATTTAAAGTAACAATTCTTCTATACTTCATCTTTTCGGTTCACTAAACACAAGAAAGGCATATTCTTTCATGAAAAATTATGGGAGAGTTTCCTATGAAGAAAGAAGTTGTTGCAATTTCTGAATATCCCAAAATACAACTCATAGAATTAAACTTTTATGAGTTCAAGTATGGATAAAAACATTGTAGTGAAAGTGAAGCCCCATAACATTCTATTATAAGAGGTATGTCAAAATAAAATAAAATAAAATAACTGAACAACAAGCTGAAACTCTAAAGAATCTACTCAAAATATATATATATATATATATGGAAGGTACTACAAAACACCAATAGGCAAAAATGAACAGTGATTTCGCCTACCCTCATCACCGTCCAAAAAGTTCATCGTACGGTCAGGATTGTCCGGTAGTGTTTTATTCTTCATTTTTTTTCTACAAATCGGAATGACCTAAAATTTGAAGCGTGTGTTCATCACAAATAGGCGAATCTACAAAAAATATCAAATAAATATTTTACATGAAAAAAATTGACCAAAATACCCCCAAAAAGTTTCGGGGATATTTTGGTCAATTTTTTTTACGAATTTTTTTTTTTTGTTTTTTAGATGTGCCTCACTAAGATGTACACACGCTCCAAATTTCAGATCATTTCGATTTGTAGAAAAAAAATGAAAAATGAAACACTATCGGACAATCGTGACCCTGCGATGAACTTTGGACGGTGATGAGGGTAGGCGAAATCACCATTCTTTTTCGCCCATAGGCATTGGGAAGAGTTTCTTTCAATAGATTTTCTTTCAATATAGGTGTTATGTTAGGGTGAGACCCATCACTACCAAAATCTTCAAAGAAAAGCTATAGTACGTGGTTAACATGTGATTTGGAAACGCCTGAATCCTCAATCACACAGCTTTCTATGTCTACGAAGAAATGAAGTTACCTGCCAAAGGAATTCTATATTTTCTCTCTCCACAAAGTATATTATTTAGACTATTTGAAGAATAATTGAGTGGCATATGTAGAGAGATAAAGAAAATCTTACCACTAGAATAGTACGTCTAGGAACCTCCAATAGCACATCTTTGATGACCCAAAAAACCATTCACATTTAACAAGGTGGCATAATGGATGAAAGAGGCACCTAGATATAGAGGAGAACTTCATTTATCAACAACCAATATCAATTAATTACCCATCAATTTGATCGAATATTTTATTTATTCTTAACTATATCAATTAATTGCCATGTGATTTCTTTGTGGCTAGTTTGTTGGGACTAGATACTATACTTAGTGCTATATATTTTATGGGATTGTATACAATGAGACCACTTACCTTTTGTATAGGGAGGTCACAATTACTTACCACTGTTCGATGTGAAATCTCATAGCTTAGGTGTGTCACAAAGTTCGAGAATATTTCTTTTGAACTTTAAGCTTGGTCGATGAAATAAAGGCAGCAACCCAATTTCACATCCAATGGTCAAGATTAATTGTGACTACCTTGTACCAAAGGTAAATGGTCTCATCATATACTTTTCCATATTTTATTAGGTATTCATACCCAAAATCCACTATCCATGTTTGGACTTCAAGTGGTGGAGTTGACAAAGCTAGGACTAGATACTATGCTTCATGAGTATTTTGGTTACTCTAACAGTCTAACTCAACATCTATTGTTCATATTTAAATGAGCAGCAGAACAAATGTTTTTAGTGAAAAAAATAGTGGAATATAAGAGTAGGAAAAAAACTCATTAACCACCGCCTTTGGATCAACATTATTTGCGTATGTTCAGTCTGAGTACTCCACCTGATGCTTGTACTATGTATTAGAACTTTTTCGAGGTAAATCATCCCCTTTAAAAATATGGGTGACTCTACAAAGAGACAATATATCAAATCCACGACTCAAGGATAAGGATAGACTATGGATGTGAGGAATGGAAGATTGATGTTAGATTTGAGCACCCATCACTATACTTGTACATAGTACATTATATTTTGCTAGTTGTACGAATACTCTTATCCAAAATCCAACGTCCATGCTTCCATGAGTAGTGGAGTTGAGTAGCTAACCTTGCCAAAAAAAAATTGTGAATATGAAAGTGGGCAACAACTCATTACCCACTGTCATTGGATAAACATAAATAGTGGATGTTATGTCTGAGTACCCTATCCAATACTCTTGAAGGACCGAGAATATTTTCCTTAGGTAACCCATGCCCCTTAAAAACAGTTTCATCTTTCAATACAAATAATGACTAGAAACCCAAGGATACTCACCAATAAAACTAGATGGCTATAAAAGTGGGTAACAACTCATTATACACCATCTACTAAGTTTGAGCATCTAGTATTGTACACAAAATTTTCCTAGTTATAATGGCAGGAACGAATACTATAGTCCTCAAATCTTTCATACTTATCCTCGGTTGGTGGAGTTGAGTTATTGTTCGCTTTTAAGAAAAATATTACGTATCCACTTGCAAGTATCAAATAGGGAACTCAGACCCTACATCCACCGTTTATATTTATCCAAGGACAGTGGGTGATGAGTTATTTCTGACTTTCATAGCTACACAATTTTCTTTTCTTTTTTTTAAGCAAGGACAGCTGCTCAATTCTACAACTCATGGAAGCATGGACATTAGATTTTGGGTAAAAGTGCCCATACAAAATATACTTTACTTCGTATGAGAAAAGTGATGGATGTTAAAACATAACACCCATAGTTCATACCTCTCAAATTAGCCTTAAGTGGTGGAGTAAGCTATTGTGCCCTTTTAAAATTGTCCTTATTTTCAAGGGGGGTGATTTAATCCAAACAATATTCAAATACCAATTATTATTATCAGATAATATGCTTAGACCCATCATCCACCGATGATGTTGACCCAAAGATGATGGGTGACTAATTATTGCCTACTCTTATAGCCCACCAGTTTTTCACATAAAAGGTTAACTCCACTTCCATGAAAATATGAATTATTAATGTTGAGCAAGAGTACCCGAATACTTGTGCAAAGCATAGTATCCTATCCAAATATAGACAGTGGATGTTAAGTGGGAGTACGCAATAAGATATTCTAAACTAAGTTCCAGTCCTATCATTTTGATATTGGTTATTTATAAATAAAAAATCTCCGCTCAAACTAGATGACAATTAATTGATATTGGTTATTGACATATTAATAATTATTCATGTCTTTCTCTATGTTTTTCTCAACCATCATGCCACTTTGTTAAATGTAAATTTTTTGGGTGATTAGAGATGTTTTGCTAAAGGTTTCTAGATGAAATATTTGTGAACAAAAAATTTCTACTTTTCTATCTCCATTAGTCAATCAATTCCTCTCCAAATAACTCAAATATTTTACTTACTATTGAGAGTGAGAAAACAAATAAGGTTTTTATTTGTTAATGTGATTAAGATATTTGTTTCTAGGTAGATTCGTTAAAGTTTCATGTTACTGGTTCGCCTATTCTTATTCGTCTTTCATTACACATAATAAAATGTTTTTAAGGTTTCACTACAATGTTCTTATTTTTATACTTGGGCTATTAAAATTTTATTTTATGAGTTGCTTTCCAAATATCCAACTTGCAACAATAATCTATCCTTAATTTGTTCCAGTGATCTAAAAAGCGGGCCGCCAAGAGCCTATGCGGTCCAAAAGGCCTGGGGGCATCGCTTAGGCCTAGGCGGCCAATCTGGGCAGTCCATTCCTGGGCGGCGGCTTAGAGCCTGCGCCTCGCCCAGGGGCGGAAACCCATTTTGGTGGGGGCAAATTTGTTCATATTACCTTGTTTTTAAGGCCCAAAATTTAGGGTTTTAGGTTCATTTGAAACCTAAACCTTGTTTGAGCCAAATTTAAATAGAGGAAACCACAAATAATTAGATTTGAATTTTTTAAGATCGAAGGGTTACTCAAAGTTAACCAAACTTGATCAAAACATCACCCATTGGTACTATATTTATTTATGTTTTGCAAAGTTATTTGGGGTGTTTTAGATGATTTTGAGCATTTAGAAACATCTTTGATGTGAAAGTTTGAAGATTGAGCAATCAAACTCAGTTACTCAAAGTAAGTGATTTTTTTTATTACTTTAGCCGTTAGTAATTTGCATTATTTTTTAGATGTCTTCTTCGAGATCTAATAGGAGTGGTGATCCCGGTTAGAAATACGGTTATAACCCAGATCCTA